CATAAGATACAAGGACATACTAAATGAAAGGGGAGAACTAAAAATAAAACAAAAACTAAATAGACTAGGGATTGACCCATCCTGGTGGCTACAATTACAGATACAATCCAGATATGAAAAAGATAGGAAGAAGTTTGGGTTTTATAAGGAACCAAATAAGCTAGATCAGATTTTAATGGGAACAGATGAAAATTAAGAGGATATATAATTATTTATTAACTATTAGATTGGAGAAAGAACAAGTAAAAAACCTTGATAATTTTGGCTAAGAATTTTGGCTATGCAATAGAATTGGACAAGTGGCAGAAATTATGGAATAGAAACTATAAGCTTACAATATCAACAGCGTATAGAGAAAATCTCTATCAAATGTTATATAGATGGCACTTTTCACCTTCAAGAATAGCGAATATGTATAGAAATAAATCTGAAATGTTGGAAATGTAACTAGAGGTGGTATTCAGCAAGTTCTGACCAGTTCCGGAGAACCGGTAGCGGAAATTTTGAGTAGTCTGAAGAACTGGCAAATACCACCTGTCTGGCCCCACCCCCATCTTCTTTGCCTCCAGAGTCCCAGCTGATCGGCTAGGTCTTCTTTTGTTGCCCTGCACAGGAGAATGGAGCTGGAATGCAGGTTAGTGGGGTGGGAAGGGAATGGGATTTTGCAGTAACCTTCCCCTGCCACGCCCACCAAGCCACACCACGCCCACCAAGCCATGCCCACAGAACCGGTAGTAAAAAAAATCTGAATCCCATCACTGAATGTAACCAAATACCAGGTTCATATTACCATATATGGTGGACGTGTCCAAAAGCAAAAATATATATATATATTGGAAGAAAATCTGCATATGGCTAACACACAGATTTGACACCTGAGATATTCCTGCTGGGCATGCTATCAGAAAATTATAATAAAGGTAATACATATTTACTTCTACATATTCTAACAGCAGCCGGGAATGTATACGCACAATACTAGAAAAATGAAGAAACCCCTACAGATTATAATATAATAAAAAAATACTATAATGCGCAGAAATGGATAGATTAACTCTAAAATTTAAGGAAACACAAGACACTGAGTATTTTATAACATGGGAATTTTTTTACAAATGGCTCGTTGATAGATATAGAGGTTAGGCGAATGGATTTATATCAAAATATAGACTACATGGGAAAGAAAAACTGACTTGTAAATATATTGATGGCTATATAATTCATGTTATAGGAGATAGTATATTTTTTAATAATGATTGATATCATCTAATATATGTATGTACATGATTATAATGATTATGATGATGCTTATATTTCAACACTTTGGATACCTAAAAAACACACTGTTCAATATAAAAATGGAATTTGTGATACAAAAACAATAAAAATATTTTTAAAAGGGATTATCTATTTATCATTAAAACTTAGGGCATACAATGTTGCTTAAAACTTTTGAATTTCTGCAAAATATGGCCTAAAATCTTTTTTGTTTACAGATTTCCTAAAATTCAAGAGTTCACAAATTTAAGCACCACTATCTGTATAAGCTCTAATAATATTGATTATGCTTAGAAAATATATCATTGAAAATAAATTATTTTATATACATCTTTTTAAAAACATCCCTAGCTCCTGAAAATTTCATATTGTGGCTTTTTACACATCCTGTGTAATGCTTTGTCCTGTAATAACAATTTCGTTTTCAGTAAGAAGTTGCTCTTCACAGATAATAAATCAAATTTTCTGTTATTTTTTCTCAGTTCTGAAATTCTCTATTATGACATGCCAAAATGGATGCTAAGAAAATATTAAATTTATATTTTTATTAGCAAGAATAATTATGAATTATTTTGGATAATTTGAATAATTTCAAAATATTAAGCTTATTTTGGATATTCAGTTTTTTCTATTTGTAATGGAACTTTGTCCTTGAAGGGTCTTACTAGTGGAAAAACTGAGGTAGCATATGTATTTTATTTTCCCTTTTAAGTCCACATATCACCACATTGGTTTGAAGAAGCTCTCAATACCTCTGATCCCCAATCAGACTCTGGGGCAAAGAAAATGTGTGAAATTAATAAAAATGTTCTATATGTAGCTCACAATGTCTCAAGTTAAAAGCTACTGATTGTAAATATTTGTAACTCAAACAAATACATAACTTAACAAAATAGAAAGAACATACTTACCCGAATAAACATTTCCAGTTCTGCCTTCCGTCTTTTTTCTATTTTCTCTGTTTCCATTTGACAAGTATAACATACATACAGATGATTAACTGCTGGTCCTCCACCATATCTGTGATAATAAATTATTAAATAAATCCCCATTTATTAGGTTTTATAGAATCAAACACTATTTAGGAAGCAACTCTTTTTTTGTTCACATTTTTTTTAAATTTTTAATAGAAATAAGTAACACATATCTGAATTAATTGCACATGGTATATCTATTATTCTCAAACTCTGATATATCAAAATGTGAACATCTTTTTTACACCTAACTTAGAAATAAGTGTGGTTCTTACTGTTCACTTTTGCTGAGATCACATATAAAACAGTATTTTTGTTTTTATTCTGCTTTCTAATACATTTTTCATTATACTGTTTCTTTGTTGCTTGATATAACAGAATCTTTTGTTATACATATTTTGACTTAAAAAGTTTGAAACATACATTATAATAATTTTTGTCTACTCATTGAAATAAAAGAAATAATTGCAATGTAAAATTTTTGCTGATATACTAATTTTCTGCCATGATAAATCTATAAACTTTTTAAAGGATTCAGAAAATGCAAGACTCATTAGTATTAAAAAAATATCAATTCAGAATTGTTACTTTCACAATACACAACTTCTATCCTCTTCAGAAAACAGTTTATCACTTTTCCCTCTGTGCACATTAACATTTATATATAGGATTTACAGCAATCCCTCACATACTTACTCAGAATTGTATTTAATATTTTAATATTTAATGCATTTATTCTTGGGAAAATGTGTGTGAGAGTATCTGCTTAATTATACGTTTGAAAGTCTGTCAGCAAGAAAAAGTATTTAATTCTTTAAAATAAGTATAATATTAAGCCTCTACTTTGTAATGCCTATTTTATCTACACATAAATATCACATCCATTTTGGAGGAGACTATAGTACTTTTAAAATACTGCAAGAGTATGTATGTTTGAATTAGTGCCTATAAAGAATTGATTATAGAGAAGGGCAGTAGCTCTTTTGAATTCTACTGTATAGTGCAGTGTTGGTGTGGTGTCGGAGGTTTTCAATTCAATGTGTGGATTTTGAAGGATGTGTGTGTTTATTTTTATGGTCATGATGTGCACTGAAGATGGTGTTTGGTTTCATTGTACAAGGTGCAATGACAATAAAGTAAACAAAACTTTAAAAAGTACTATATTAAGGCACTCTACTACACTAAAAGTTTCTGTTATTTCTGATTTTTAAAATAAATTCTCCAAATGCAATTAAGAGATGCATTTTAAAGAAAACCTAGCCATGCAAAGATAGGTCAAAGCTTGAATTAAACTACAGTGGAGTAAATCTAAACACTTACTGGGGACAGAAATGTTCTATTGAAAAAAGCAACACAAAACTAATGCAGCTATAATACCTAACTAATACCTATCTATTTACAGATTGCTGTTTGAGCCAGCAGATGCATTTGTATTTAGAAACAAAGTGAAATTAATTGGTTTTTCTTTCCCTAATCCTGAATTATTCTTGTATCATGCCAGTTCACATACTATTAGACAGGTAGTAGAGGTGCACGCATGCAAGAAAATAAATGAAAATAATATTTTTGCCTTCTGTTTATAGATGTTTTGTGAGATTAAAGAGGCTTAGAAAGTGCCAGTCCACCACAGGATTCAGTATAATGTTCTGTACTACACTATATGCAGATTTTCCAATTACCTTCTCTTTGATAATGTTATTATTTTTTGGCATAATAAAATCAGACATCAAATGTAATATGTTTCACAATTAAGTTTACCTGCTGTACAAATTATCCCATATGTTCTGAGGAAGCATTACAACGAGATCTTCTATAAAAGAAGCTTTGTGTGGAGGAACTCCTATGGAAAAATAGTTTTAAAAAATTAAATATGATTTAGTTAAAGGGAGTAGAAACCTTGAAGTAATGCAGTTTTTCAGCAGCAGTAAAAATATAAAATATCTGTGAAAGAAACAACTTCCTATTGTTTTATATTAAAGCTTCTTAGTTTCTACGCCAAAGATAGGTGTAATCTAATTTATCTTACTATAGAATTAAACTGTAGCCTAACAAGTCATGAGTAGTAATTAAGGACATACATATTTTTTACTTTCAGCTAGTAAGTTATCCAAACTTTGTATCTATAATTTTAATAATGAACCCGTTAGCTTTACATTTGAAAAAATGGATTCTACATAAGAAAAATTCAGGCTGTGATCTTCTGGATAATCAAAAAAGAAATTAACTGACTACAGAGTGAAATTCTCATTTAATTGGATAAAAATTCAAATTAAAAGATGTAAGGACAAAAATACATAGGGTGGCAAAAATGGTCAAAAACTCAAAAGTTATAGGAAACAGTAGGATTTATTGTTCCAGATAATAAGATAAAATGTTATCTTCATAGGAGAATAGTTTTATATGACCTCAGTCTCACCTCCATGGATGCAGAGAAAATCGTTATTTGAAATAGGTCCTGGTTCAGCAAAAGTTCTGAATTTATTCAGCCATAAGCGTGAAATATAAAATTGAAGGAGGCTTGGTTCCATAACATTAAGGCTTGACACTCTCTCTCTCTTTTTTTTAGCTTCTTCGTTACTTTTTCTTTTGAAAAGAGGCAATATATTAACATTAGTTAATGACTAATTAATCTGTACGACTAAAAATATTAAGACTGCATACTATGTGCTAATTTTCAGTTTAAAAAAGCAAAGGTACTTCAAATCTTGATATCTTCAAAATATTTGAGTTCATGGTAAGATGAACTCACAGCTATTCTTTAGAACCAGAAAAATATGTTAATTCCTGCAAAGAAGCACTTTGAAAAAAGTGATATTGAGTTTTGATTAAAACTAATAAAGCCTCTAACAATTGGGAATGACTATCCTGGTTGTTTTTTTAACTGTTTGTTATGAATAACAGACTTGTATCAGTTTTTTTAAAAAGCTTCCTTGCAAAAGAGAGAAGAATGTTTTTGTAGATACTCTCTTTCTTTAGTTCTGTCATCAACAAGCCAGAGAAGAATTTTACAAGTTGGAAGTCCAGAAGGAAGATTTGCAGTAGTGTTTCCCTTCTTTTTCTTCCCTTTCCTTAGCATTGACTAAGTAAAATTCTGCTCAAACAATACTTTCGCTGACAATGACAACCTCTGCATCTAGCCATTGTTTTGCAACTTCAAACTTGCTTTCTTACCTGTAGAAGAGAACATAAGCTTCTGCATTTTGGATAGTTGATTCTGTTACTTCTGTGACACTTTGATCATCAAATTCATACCATCGATTATTTAAATTATTTCGACAATAAGCTGTATAATGCCCATCTAAATTAAAGAACAAATTAAGAAGTTTTTTTGTTTTAAAATTGCAGGAAAAGCAGATTGGTACAGATTAATGTAATAACATTTTTACATCAGCTGCATAATGATGTAACATACCATAAACATAGACTATGAAAACAGATTATGTATACTCACTAATAGCAGTTCCATGGTGGCAGATGACAGACAAGAGGTCATAAACTGCTATTTGAGCAGGACTGTCTTTAGCAAGAAAAGGTTGAAGATCAAGTCCTTCCAAAGGAAAGGATACATGAGTTCCAATTTTTGTGGAAAACATAAGATCGTGTCTGAATCTTTTGAGATGAATACATAAAATCTGTGTAAAACAATCAACAGGCTTATTTGAAAACTGATGTTTATCTTTTATTTTAATATAAGCAACAGATTTCTTATTAAGCAGCTAATAAGTTTTTTATTTCCTCAATGAAAATGAAATTACCACCGAAACTTTTATTTAATCGCATTATTCTATAGCACACTGTGATTTCTTTAGGAATGAGAATAATGAAACAAATTTCTGCAACCTCCAATTTTGCTCCTTTGCTCCCAGTACTTAGTAGTGAGATTGTTTTTACTGCTCCATTTGAAAGTGATTTATGATATCACAATTACACCATAGCTACTATATGATACAGCTAGCAATCATCTGTATTTGTGCCTCAAATTCTTTGGCAGATATTCTTTACTAGTATGTCTTTTTAAGAATATTGATTTGGTTGGGGTCTCTGACATATTACTCAGCACTAATGCAGGTTGTGATCTGAAAAAAAATGTGAACAACATGGCAACAACAATTATTATTACGCTTGGCACTTTTCTACAAAAACATCGCTAAAGGGAAACTACACTGACATGACATGTTGTTAATATGAATGCATGTCAGAAGTTCAAATATATCATTTACAGAATAATATTGTTGTTTATATTTCCTTAGGAAAAGATATGTTTAAAATAACCCTCCAAAATAATTCTAATCTTCTAGAAAACTTTCAAATTGTGGAATCTGTCCAAAAAGTATTATACTGATCCCAAGTGATCTTAATTATCGGTAATATTTTATCCTGAATTATTTCAGTTATTAGGTAATGCTCAAGAGCCTGCAAATATTCAGCTGACCTTTGCTGATCTTAGAAGCTAAGTAGGACCAGCCCTAATTAGTATTTGGATGGGGGACAGTCTGGCAATGGAAAAGCACACTTCCAAGAAAATTACATGAGTGCAATGACCAGGAAACAGACTAGACCAGTGATAGCTAACCTTTTTGGTCCCGAGTGCCCAAAGTGCACGTGCACGCATCACCAATGCAATGTATGCCCCGCGCATGTGCATGCATCCTGTGCATGTGCTGCACCTCCGCGCATGCACCCCACCCCCAGCATGCACCCCACTCCCTGCACATGCATGGCAGAGACCCAAAGACCAGCTAGCTGGCAGGAGGCACACACGCATGCATGGTGGAGCTGAGTTGAGGCAATGGCTCATTAAATTTAAACATTGGAAGTGAACATCTTAAAACACACTAGTCCTAACTATCTAAAATAGTTGTGTAGAATGTAACAATTGATTCTCAAGACTGATAGAGCTTCAGGTGACTTTTGTAAATAATCAGCTTCACCCTTCCCCATTATCAATGAATCACCTTTCCAGTGCATCCTAAGGTTATGAGAAAAAGACCTAGAAAATCTTAGCCATAGCATCACCTGAGCTATAAAAGAAAAATACTACACTTGCTAGAATTCTTGTGTTATCACCTTTCATGAATCTTGTTAATTCTTAAAATTGTGACTAAAAAAACAACTTTAGATTGAAGCAGCTACACATTCTGACAGAAAATGAAATTCAGGATAGGGACCATAACAACATACAGGAGAAATTGATTAGTTTGACTGTTATCTGTTAAATTGTTAAAAGATTCATCTTGGAAAATGAAGAAATAGAACTGAATACAAGTCATGTTACATGAAGTAATTTGTTCTTATGTTAACACTGATTTATTACAAAAAGGAGGGGAGAGGACATTTTTATCCAGCAAAGCAAAGCACATTACCTCAGGGAAGTGTTGAACTTTGCAGAATTTTACTCCATTTCTTAACCTGAAGTAAAGTTCACATTTAATGACATTGTAAAAAATATTGACCACAATGTTACAAAAATTCTAGCTTTACTATTTTAGAAATGCTGGCCAGAAAAAAATGGAATGGAATTAGAAATCTACATTTTTTCCAGTTTTCATACCAATATAGAAAATAAACATAACTTATATATAAAAATCCAACATATATTTTGATAAAGTACTAAACTCAATAATAATAATATAATTGTTGTGCAATTCCAAAACATCAGGAGCATCATTTTGACACCATCAGTCTATTGCACAAGACAGCTTTATTGGAACAGTTTATATCCTGCAACAATACCTTTAATATCATTAAATAACATCTGCCTATCCCAGGTCCTTAGTTTGAAGGTGGACAAATATACCAAATATAAAAATACTGTGCAACCAACTATAATCTATATTATAATAATGACAATGAAATCCTTTTCTTTCCAACTATTTATTTCCCACCTTTACAAATAGCTGAAGGCAGCAAACATATCCAACATACCTTCTTCCTCCTGTTTTCCCCACAACAACCCTGTGAGATGGGTTGGGCTGAGGTCACCTACCTGGCTTTCATGGCCAGAAATAGGGCTTGAATTCAGTGTCCTGCTTTCTAGTCCAGTGCCTAAATCACTAGACCAAAGTAGTTCTGATGGAGAATATATGGCTGTAACCCTGAATTAAAAGTGTTAACCCAGAATCTAAAGTGGTTTTTTTAGTGTATTCTTAAGATTTTACTGAATTCTGACTTATTAAGAACAAGTAAGTGTGCAGTACCACTCTTGTCATTTGGTACCTTTTTCAAGCTTGGACAGGTTAAGAAACAGGCTCCTCAAGCACTACTGGATCTCTATAGTGATAGGGTATAATAACAGACTCTTGAAAGTCTGACAAAATTCCTCTCACTTCTCCTCTTACACCTTAAAGAATCAGACAAGGCAATCCTAAGTTTCTTTCTTACTGCCTTCTTCTTTGAAAAGCTACCTGGCTTTTAAATAACTGCTCTTGTATTCAATTTTTTAAAAGTTATTTCTCTACTGCTCTACAGTGGCCCAGACAGAACTGATATGCAGTTCTTATTCATTCAGCAGATGGCAGCTGAAATCAAAAGCACCTTTGCACAAAGGTTTCTTGTTTGCCAGTTGTATCACTACCTTGCTGAAGAGTCCTCACAATCACTCATGAGGTTATCTTTGTAGACCACTCAGAATTAACAACTGGTCCAGAATGTAGCCATGCAACTATGGGCACTTCTTATTTTATTCATATAGCTCTGGTAGGCTTGGTGTTGTAGGTTACCTGTATAGCTGTTCATAGTTTAGTCTAGTTACCTAGAGGACTGTCTTTCTCCTGTTGTTTCCACTTGACCACTTAGATTTGAGTGAGTTGATAAGTCCCAGTTGTAAACCGGTGTCTTCTTGGGAGCCTAAGAAACACACCTAAGTAGCTGGGTTGTCCTGCAGAACAGCATTTCCCCCCAAGTTTTGCACAGTTGCATCCTATTGGGTTTTGGCTGGGAAAATGTTTGTTTAGTTATTCTTCCCTGTTGCTTATCTTGTATTTACTGCTGATCCCGCCCTTTTATACTTTTACTAGTTATTTTTTGCTTAATAGAAAATAATCTTAGTAGTTAGAGTCATATTACATTAAGGCAGCATACGAGTGGTGAAATATAAAATAAAACAGTAACTGCTAATGTTCAAACAAGTGGCAAGTCTAAATGATGCCTATGTTTAGTCTAGATGGTTACATGCATAGCTCAGATAAGGCTGTGGCATTTGGCATGAAACTATTCCTGTTTGCTGGAGGCAAATTAATCCTAAGCATCTTTCATTAGGTTTCAAGGGTGTTAGGCAGTTTTTCAAGCAAGCTTAAGAAGACAATGAATACTGAAAACTATTTTTAAACAAATGTTAAGTCAGAATGATTCATACAAAAGTCCTATTTTGCCAGCTGAACTGTGCCTGTGTATATTTCATACATTACATCATATTCCTGGTTTCAATAGCTTTATTAATGAAAAAGGGTAGAAAAATATAGAAATTATACAGATAGATAGATAGATAGATAGTTTAAATGTAGATCACTTACTTTTTACATTTTTCACAACTGTACATATTGTCACCTGCAGACATTGTAAGGAAGAAAAGAACAAACATTATTCTAAAAATATAGAAAATTATCTTTAACCCACACTAAACATGTTTGATTTTGCAATATAGTAAATTGATCCTAGCATTTTATAAAATACTTGTCCTTGTGAATTGGGAAATTGTTTTTAATTGAAAATCCATACTATGGTTCAAAAGTTAATCTTTTGTAACAATGTTTTCTGAATGTTTGTCCTTGAAAATATTTCTCAATTCAATTTCAACAAAGATATTGTGGAGAAAACTCTAATATGCTTTCTGTGAAACCTGATTCAAAACAATAAACTACACATAGTAGCTAAATTAGAATTTGATATTCGATATGAATCTCTTACCTTTCAATTCATCTCTAGCAAAAAAGGCAGCAAGACAATCTTGTAAGGTTACTGTTGGACCCCAAAACCAGCTAGGGACACATGAGACAACAAACCTGAAATATCATTGATAGAAAAACAGCAATTGTTCTGCTGTTATAGCAGAAACATCAGTGCAGAAGAATTACTGAAGTAGTAGAAAGAAAACAACTAACCTTTTGAAATATTCCACAAAAAATGCGATCCAGCCTTGAGGAGCATATGCTTCACCACAAGATCCTGCCTTGACAAGAGAGGTCTGATGATTTGCAGAATGCAGCTTAGCAAGATCTTCCTTACCTGGAATAGGCAAAGACAAATCCTGGAAAGTTTCCAGTGTAACTGAAACCTATGAAAAATAAACATAAACACTTATTTGTCAATATATTTAATCAAATTCTATAATTCTATTTGTTTGTTTTAAACTTTGCATAAAACATAGTACTGCTTATCTGCTATTACATCACTTGATGGGAACTAATATATGCCATTTAAGTTCACTATAAAATATACATGAATATAAGGTAAATTCACTGTACATACATATTGATAAATATAAAAATATAAAGTGCAGAGGATAAAAAAATTAAAGAACTATGAACAGGAAAGACATGTTTGGAAAGTCTAGCTTAAATAATTCAAAAATATTTATATATATTACTTTAAAAAACAACATCCACACAGAAAGTGAGAAATTTTGTATAAGCACTGTAAAACCTACCCGATCACATGTGAGACATTGTACGGAACTTAAAATAGAACCATCAAATATGTCTGATATAACACTTCGGTATTTTTTGCTTTTCTTCTTTTTAGAGGAAGGCGCAGTTGGAACTAAAAGAGAGAGAGAGAAAAAGAAATAATTACAAAATATTATTTGAACTGTCCAGGGCTAATGAACAGTAATTTCTACATGAATTTTGGGAGAGCAGGCAGCTAACATTGTTTTACTCATTCATTATAATTCATGTCCATCTCACCCCAATGGGTGAGAACTTTTACCATCTCACCCCAATGGGATCTATCTACCCCACCAATGCCAGCAGAGAGAGCATGCTATGGGCTCAATCAGTCAGAGAATTCCAGTGGGAGGGGTCAAGGAGAAAAGTTCTCTCTGCCATGGCCATTGCCCTTCGGAACATCACATCCACAGAGGTGAGATCTGCACTGACCCTCTTGACCTTCCATAAGGGCCTGAAGACTTGGCTCTGCCAGCGTGCCTGGAGCCACAACTGGGGGGAGGTGCAGGCCATATCCACCCCATGAGCCACCAGTTTGATAGGCCTGGTCTAAAGGACATGGGGGGATAGATTCTTTGAGACAGAATCTCAAAAGTAAGGTCAGTGGCAATGCAGCCAGGTTTGGAGAAAGAAACAGCCACTACTCAATTTATTAGCAGCTAAAGTAGCACAAAATATTTGCAAGGCTAATTTAGCATACATTGTGCCAAGTAAGCTTTAGATGGGATTTATCTACCTTATTTGATGTTGAAAAAGCTAACCAAGGCCCAACTAGTATTTGGAGATATTTAAAACAAAATCAGAAGAAAGCAATGGCAAACCATTTATTTGTTGTAACCAAAGAATATACATAGAAGCTGTCCATGTAATCACTAGGAATTTAACTTGACTCAGAAGTGGGTATACTTTATCTTAGAATACTAGCAGATAATCTCACTTGAATGTTAGCTTTGGAACAGGAGATAAATTTACAAATGTACAAAATTATTTCAATTAAATTCAATGTAATAAATCAGAAAATTATTTCAGCTCAATACAATGCAATAAATCAGAAAAGAAATTTTTTTAACAAACCTCACTAGAAGTTTGAAAACTCTGCAAAATAAAAGACTGTGATATTGGAAAATAGCACTATATTTAAAGTGCTTTGACAAACCTAGTAAAATGATGCAATTCCCAAAGGGCAAGCAAGATAAACAGAAGTTACAATTCTAATGCTTAATCCCTAGATAAATTGTGAATGCTTGCCTTACTTTTATGTGGATTGGAAAAAGAGCTGGCAATTACACAAAATCTTAAAGCTATTAATACAACAGAAGACAACTTCCCTTGAGTCAGGGGTCATTTCCCTGACTAGCTGTAGACTACAGACCAAATCTCTCAACTTTGGCAACTTTAAGATACGTGGACTTCAACTCCCAGAATTTTCATGCCAGTTGGGGAATTATACTAGTTGAAGCATCTTAAACTTTCCATTTTCCACTCTTCAAAAGGTATTCCAAACTGACTGAAAATAGCCTAAAGTGGTGGCTAACCTTTTTGGCCCTGAGTGCCAAAATGGTAGCGTGTGCGCATGCACCGGAAACCAGAAGAGCAGCTCCCTGACACACATGTGTGGGAGTGCCGGAAACAGGAAGCTTAGCTTCCTGGTTCGTGCATGCGCACCGGCCACCTGGTCTTCCAGTTTCTAACATACATGAATGTGCGAAGATCAGCTGGCTGGCGCACATGTGCGTGCTGGAACCTAGAAATGCAACAGGTGGCAGCTGGCGTGTCCATAGAGAAGGCTCTGCGTGCCATTTTCAGCACACATGGCATAGGTTCGCCATCACAGGCCTAAATTCACACCCCAAACTTTGGCAGCAAACTGGCCAAATAGAAAACAGATTTGGATTGTTTGAGGAAGCTGGTAAGATTAAAAATGGAAATGATGGAAACTTTTCATTTCCACTATTTTTTAATAAAATAAAAATGGGTTCTGCTATGAAAAGTATATGCATGTGCATTTGTATGCATACATGTATGCATATGTTAAGAGTACGGCACAGTAGTAGTCAACATATTTTAAAGTAGAAAGGATGCTGCATAAGCTTGGAAAACACCTAACAGAGAAAGCAAATCTTAGGCAAGTTCATGAAATAGAAATTTATGTTGTTCTTTTGAACATTCCCTAACCTCTACCTGAGATTGTCCCCCAAGCCTCAAGAGTACACATAACAGAAGACAAAGGAAATTAGGAATTAGTTCCATCAGCATGACATCACTATGTAACCCAAGCTAATGTTATGCATGTATGCCTTTTAATCACTTTCAAATAATATTCATATAATCACCTGAATATCTGCTGTGTATTTGTACTTTCACTGTTTCCTGATTATTCAAAAGTTCAACTGTTTCACGGAAACTGTTTATATCTTTTTCTGTGTCGTCCATAGAATTTGTTCTATTCATTTTGGTACACAAGGATCTCTCTTTTCTATAATCTTTAGATGTATTTTCATCCTCCTCAATTAACATTGCATTTTCTGCAGGGTCATCGGCCACAGGTTTTGACCAAGGATCAGTTTCTAACTTATCATTGTTAACACATGACTGAAAATCTGCATCCGATTGGCATTTTTCTTCTTCCATTCTCTCTTCAACATTTGTTGTGTTACTATCCTCTACTGTAATAACAGTTTCTTTTAACTCTTCATGAAGCAAATCCATTAAACAACGTAGAAATTCCTGGGCATCCTAAAATTTAAAACAGGTAAGTACATGGTTTAAATTACACATCTAATGTGATAGATTTAAAAATGCTAATTAGTTAAGAGTAAATATATATGAAGCAGGATATAGATGTAACATACTGTACTGCTTTTAGTTACTTCCATTTTATAATGTGTTCTGTAAAAGTATAGCGTTGGATTTAGAGAATGCAGGGAAGATAATTGACGGAATGGGATTTCTTTCTGTAGCTCCTCTTGTTCATAGAATCTCCCTAGAATGTCTATTTTCTAGATAGCCTGCACTATTGCATGAAAGCATCAGACAGAACAATGTCTGACTTTTTTCTCCTGGCTGATTTTTTTTAGCTTTCGTTCCTCATGTCAGAGCCCATTTTGTGCAAAAGGACCCTTGGCCATCAGAAGATGGGGAAAAAGAAAAGCCACATCCCCAAAGCCTATTTCCTTTATGCTAGATCTATCACTATAATACAATCTAAATGTTATATTAATAGGCATTTTGAAGACTGAAATGAATGTCATTTAATTTTTTTTTTATTATTATAGTCCTAGATCTCTTCCTAGTATTCCCTGCATAGAAAAGAATTAAGCTTTCTATTGTATGGTGTTTATATTACATCATAGTGTAGGTATAAAGCCTGAATTAATCAACAATTGAATAAAGGAGAAATACACAAAAAAGTCCAGCAGTTTGCCAGAAACAACCATTCTTTCCGTTTCACTATATTATAACTACTCCGAGTATCTTTTTTGTGCATATATATTTTACTTGTGTTTTTATTTCTTTGAATCTTGCAACTGTTTAGCAACAATAATTTTTAGTGGTGTAAAAATAGAAAAGGCTTACTTGTTGTGAATAGCCTCGAAATGTTGGATTAACTGCTTTAATTCCTTGAAACAAATTTGTGGGGACCACAGCTCCAGGCCTGAAACAAAAAACATTTAATTTTGTTTACACGTTCTCAAACTGAATGGAGTACCTCAGTGTAACAATGTTCAGTTTAGCAAATCAGGAATATTAAAGCTAGGAAATTCTTAATTGTACTGTCTTAATATATCAAAATCATACATAATCTAACAGGATTTATTTCTATGTAAATATATACAGAATCTACTCTAAGGATGGATATGGTTCCTCTGGTGAGTAGTCAGAACTGGATGCTGCTTTTTGCTTAAAATGCTTTGCTATTTATTAAATCAAAGTGTTTATTATGGTTAAACCTAAGAAAAGGAGTAGGCAGCTATAGTAATAACTGCATAATTACAAACCAGAATTCTAGTTCATGTACTATTAACAAGCATTCCCTAGTGGCGTGTTCCCTTCTACTGTATAGAATTGTGAAGTGGAAGGTTATTTGCCACATGTGGAAATCTTCCCCCACCCCATCTCTGATATACTCAGGTTATTTCAAATGACACTCCAACCCTCCAGATTAGATGTTGGTGGTACATCATGGAATTTGAGGAATAAAATAGACAAAATCCATTGTATGAACAGAAATATGAAAGATTGCATGTAGTCCATTATTTGGAATGCATCTCATCTAATACAATATTATATATCAGATTAATTTATGAAAACACATTATCACAATGAAAGTAATACCATACCTGCTTTTATGCCAGAGTTCCGTTATAAGTTTGTAATAACTTCTGCAAATGGCTGGTTTTTTATCGGTCCGAGCTAAACTCCCACAGTCAAGGAAAAACTGTGTCAATGGGGGGCTGATAAGAAAAAAAAAACAAGCACAAACTAATACTTTGAAAGAATGTTACATATATCCATGTTTTTTTTAAAGTCTATGAATTCTTTATAATTAAAGAAAGCATTAAATATTCAATGTAGTCAATAATATTGCTGAATCCTCCCATATCTAAAGTTGTTGTTTTTTTCCCAATGTAAGATTTTAAAACACTAGACTTTAACATTTACTGCTTCAGATTAGTTCCAAATTCTTGTTTATTATTTTGACTTTATCTTCATTTCAACCACCAATTTCTGAAATGATTCTAGTATAAAATGTTCAAATGTTAAACTATTGTATGATTCTGTTTGTTCCATTCAAATATGACTTGTAATTTTTTAAACATTTTTTTGCAAATTCTTTGTGCAATTTGTACAGTTTGTGAATCTTATTTACTTTTTCTCCAATTTCCCTTTTTTTCTGTCTTCACTCCTCCTATTTCTCTAAGAAATAAGTAACAATCAACCTTACAGAATTGGCATCTGAAATATACTGGATTAATGAAATCAGTATAGTTCATTATTGAACATCTGCTGAGGCAGAACTTTAGTATTATATCAAAATAAATTTCAGATTCTTTTATTTATCCAAGGAGAAAATTATATGCAAATTTCCATGGAGAAAATTCTTTCCAAAAATTTTGTTTCCTGTTTATGGAACTCTTCAAAAACTGGAAAATGTACAGCTAGGAGCTTTTAATATAGATTAAAATTTATTTATTCATTTATTAAATGTATATGCTTCCAATCTCATCAATAAGGAATTCTCTTACATGGCTAATTATTTATTTTTTATCTTTTCCCCAGAAATTATTGAAATTCGTTGCTAAAGTAAAGGAAAACACAAACAGTTTTATATTCCTTTTTTTACCAGTTTGAAAGTGCTTGTAAAGCTGCATTCATGTAACAGGTGTTTCCAATATTTCTCAAGCCTGTCAAACCTGCAAACCAATGAAAAAAGTTATAGTGTGTACAGGATATCAATAAGCCTTCATTCTGTAGAAATTTAGAAGCAGCTTTTTGTAGTATTTAAAAAATTTCTGAGTACCTTTACCCTGAAAACAATGTTACTATATTGCTATCATACAGAAATCTGCAAATATGACAATGTGTGACATTCACCATCCAACTGCATTCCCATTTTTAGGTTAAGTTCCAATAAGTAAAAAAAATGTTCACCCATGAGAAACCAAGCACATCCTAGCAAAAGAACAGTTTTAGCCTTAAAAATTAATTAATTGCAATTATCATATTAATAATTTATTCATGTGAATTACCCTACTTTATTACCTCTAGCCTTTAATTCATCTTCTTCATCAATTTGTACATCTAGGTCATCAAATGTTGCAATTAAAGGAATTTTCAGTGTAGGGATGCTGGGTAACTTAATATCCTTAATGGAAGATTAAAAAAAAGTAAAATTCTAAGCAGCATTCTTCATGAAGATTATGACATTATTTTATTTGTATTGTTTTCTAATGAGCCTATGAAATTATTTGTATCAATTTCCAATATGTTTTCTTCCTGTACAAAGCCAAAAGTCTACTGATATATATATATGCATATCATAATATTTCATTATTGAATAATGTAACTCAGCTAAAAAAAACCTCTCCTATAGGAACATAAATCTGCCACAACATACTGTCTGGCAATAGAAATGGTTTCATCTGCTTTATAGAATACCTGCATATTACAAATTAATGACACAATAAGTTTGATATAACAATAGCTTTGATATAGCTTTGGGACATTTTATAGTTCTGTCATCAGATGGCTCATAGTGTAAACAACCATTGTGCGCATAAATAGTCTATTCAGTCTATTCACAAAAGAACTGAGACGTGTATGCTACAAAAATGCAGTAAAAATATTTTATTACTTTTAAGCATATTTCTACATGTATATATCTAAATGAGATATTTTTCTCTTGTCAATCTGCAGGTAACTTAGTATTTAATATTTAAAGAATTAATGTAAATAAAAATTAATTTAATTTTTTAATACTCGCCAACAAAATCCTTGGCAAGGGGCTGTTTGTTCAAAGCCACAACACAAATATGACTTATACAAAAATAAATATATTACAGTCTCATCTATAAATACTGATATACATTTTGGTTTTCAAGGAAATCACTTAGGATTACAAAAACAGTTATATTTTGTTCATGTTTATATTGTAATATTTTTAAGTACAATTCTTTTGTAAAGGCATACATTTCTCATATTAAAGCTTCTTTTAAAATATTTTTCTTCATGCTATCAGACAGAGAAATAAATTTTCCCCTTTTTAGTTACAACATTACAAATACCAACAGGAACAGCAAGAAATGCTATCTCTCTATAAAATCCTAGTAGAATGTATGCCAGATTACCTGTATGATATGTTCTGGACCAGGGGAAGATAACCGTACATTTTGTAAGGAAGAATGAGTTCTTAGCTTTCTATCCAGAAATACTTCTTTGCTGCATGCATAACACCAGACACGAAGTGTTGTAAGATTAACTGTTAAACAGTGCTTTGTTTCCTAGAAAACAAAATATTACTAAATTATATATTATAATCAATATGAAGATTAAGTGCAACACAGACACACACACTGTACATACACTGTACACACATTCACGCATAGTCTAAATCAATCCACTTCAGCTTGAACATCTCTTTATTGATCATTATAGACTCTAATTGTCCGTACAATGGTACAAAGCTGTTTGGTATACATTTTTTTTAACTTCCCAATCTAGAGTCTAAGAGAGAATGAGTGATCGTGAATTAGCCAATTTGCTTAAGAGACAACTAAAATCTAGGATTCCCAGTTTCCAGTATAGCATCACTCATTCATTTACCCACCCATCAACTGATAAAGATTAATTACTACCTTATAATTTGTCTTTAGCAATCATGCACACAGAAGATGAAGGAGATGGTTAAGTCCACATGCACTAAAAGGCCAACAGTTTCAAGGTAATGCCATACTAAACAGAATAAAAGCAGCAAATCTCCTGACCCTGTACAATTATTAGTATACTTCCCATGGAACAGTGCATTTCTTGTCCAGTTTAGTGTTATTTAGAGTGTGTTTCCCTTGCTTCAAGACTCTTAAGGACTGCAAAAAATGCAGTTTTACTGGTTTGAAATTGAAATGAGGTTTTGTAATCATTTTTCTTCCAATATCAAGTTTCTACATAAAGCCCCCTTTAGCAGAAATATTTTGGGAATTACAAGTTCAATCATAACATGTTGTAATTTTCACAAAAAATTATCAAACAAAAGCATTTTACTTCATTGCATACTGTAAACACTAGTAGCTATTTACTTAAGTTATCAAATTACTAACAAAAGCATCAAAATATTGGCAAACAATACACAAGACAAATAGTTTAATGCTTAAAAGCAGCTTACAAAGATTATTTTACCTGTTCCACATTTATATTATTCACACACAATTGTTCAAAATAAACACTATTATCAGTATCAATTTATATGACTATGGAATTAACTAACCTTTCTTGAACAGTTAAGTAATTCAGAATTTTAACTTGCCTTCATTTCCTTAGTTGGTTAATATTTTAATATGTTTTATATGCTTGTTTTCATTTTTTTGGTCACTGAATTCCTCTCAGAAAAACAGGATATAGATATACTGAATAAATTATACATAAAATTGAATTATTCTGGGATTCTGACATAAAGCTATTCAAATTTATGTTAATCATGCATATTAATAAATTCTTATTAGAGAAATGTAGCAGGACAGAATGTCATATGTGACCACACAGCACCAAGAAAATTTGAACTGTGAAGACTGTGTAAACTGTCAAAAGAATATGCAAACATACCTCTGAATGTATGGTGCTATGATCTATATGGGACTCCCCACAACCAACATAGGAGCATCTATTCTGTTAAACCAAACAAAGTAAACATTAACAAGATGCAATCCACTACAATAATAAACAACTAAACCCACTGCTTCTTAGAAAAATTGAGCAGTTTGCTTTCTTAGCAAACAGCTACTAGAATCACCTTAAAAATAGAACAATGACAGTGCCAAAGAAAGCCTCTTGAAGAGGCATGATGAATAGGATTGTTGGAAAATATTTATGGAATGGACCAAAATGGTCATACTTAATATTAACAAATCTGTTATGCAACCTTTTGGAGACCATTTTAATTAATTCACAGCAAAGCATTTTCTATTTAGGCTTGCCTAAATAATTAACCATCCTAACACTATTAAAAGTACAAAACCAGAAGTGAAATGATATTCCCTTTAACCACTATATAAAGGAACTTATATTCTGCTAAAAGGATTTGTACTTATTTTAGAAGCTGAATTAAAAATGTAAAACCTACAAATTAATTTTTCCCTTTGTAATAAACAATCCAACTGTTTATTTTATTGTTAGGTCACACTTATGACCATGTGGTTCACTTCTTTGCATCTTTTTCTCCCATTTCCTGCATTTTAGTTTTCTGGTTTTTTTTCTTTTCCTTTTCTACTTATTTTATATTACTTTTTAATCTTTTTTAAAGCATTTTAATAAAGTTATATAAAAAAAAGTATAGCATATGCAGTTAATCCTTTAGCGCTATTATTTTTTCAATGATCACTTAACTCATATAAGATGCATATTTATTATAAATTCAACTTCTAAAGCAATGTAAACAGCAATTATTCTTTTATGGCCAAACTTTAGCGGTAACCCTATAGTACTTGAACCAAAATATATATCATAAAAAAAATTCCTAATACTATATAATGAACGTTAACATCTATCAATGCTTTTCGACTGCAATTCATTATCTGACTAAAGATAAATGACTATAATAACATAGAATGTCTATGTTTATAAACACAAATATTGTATCTCCCTAGAAAGCTGTTATGCAACTGAATAGCTAACAAAAACATAAAGAATGAAATACATCAATTTATTTGAATTGATACAAATTCTTACAGTAATGTTGAATTATTATAAAGCAGCTTATATGTATGTTACACTAAATTCTTCTGATTAACACAATTGAATTAAAATATAAAGTGACTTTTCAGTAAGAATACACAGGCATATGTTAAAAATGTTTTTCATATGCCATTCCATTTATGTAAGGAACTATTTTTTCAACAAAAGACACTTTACAAAAGTATATGGCTTTGTTAAATCATCTTAAAACTATTCTCTGGAACAACATAATAGAAACTTAACATATATTTTACCTTACATTTCCAATAAAAATGGAATGTTGACCTGTAAGTTTCAGATGAAATTAAAATCTACTGTGGTTTGACCGTTAGAGCACTAGATTCGATTGCCAACTTTGCAAATGCTAAGCAGAGCTCAAAAATGGATTTGAAATGTAGCCTTCATTAAGGAAACAATACATAATTTGCATACAATCACACCACCCAGAAATTTCAAGTAATCTTAGTTCTGACTAGAGATCAATAAAAGTCATAGATGAATAAATGATTGCAGAGTTAATGCCTGGCAAAGTTGCACTTTCAGAAAGAGAAATTCTTAGTTATTGCATATTATACATAGGTAGTCCTTGACTTAAGACCACAGTTGAGCCCAAAATTTATGTTGTTAAGTGAGACATTTATTAAGTGAGTTTTGCCCTATTTTATGACCTTTCTTGCCACAGTTGTTAAGTGAATCATTTCAGTTGATAAGTTAGTAACAAGGTTGTTAAGTGAATTTGGCTTCCCCATTGATTTTGCTTATCAAAATGCTGCAAAAGGTGATCACATGACCTTGGGACATAGCAAAGGTCATAAGTATGAATCAGTTGGCAAGAATCTGAACTTTGATCATGTGATCATGGGGCTGCTACAGAGGTCGCGAGTATGAAAAACGGTTATAAGTCACTTTGAACAGTCACTAAATGAACTGTTGCAAACTGAGGACTACCTGTACGTTAATTCTGCTTACCTCTAAGCATGCCCACAGATTTGGTCCTTTTACTTTGCAGTCTTGACAACTCCCCTATTAAAAACAAGGAATCAGGCAGTTAGTTAATAAAATTAGCTCATATGGAACAAAGAAGAAAAACTCTATTGTTATTACTAGAAATACTAAATATTTATTACATAACAACTTAAGAAAACTATTATTTTAAAGTAGATGCTTATTTTGATTTTTCAACTAGAGGCATATAAAAACTTTATTACTAAAATATGACATTCACAATATTTTCTTAATGTATATTATTACATCTAGGCAATAAATACATAATATCTACACTCTCCACTTAATAAATTAAGTAAAACTTAATGACTTCTTAAACATTAATTTAATAACACTTTAACAATTAACATATATTGACTTTAGTTAAATGACAAGATGAGAATTTAAGAATGAAGCAAAGATGAATACAACAAAAAGATTACTAAACTGAAACTCACATGAGATTTGTGTATCAAATCTTCTTTGGTTATCTCACCAACAGATTCCAAATGTGAGCAATCATTGTTTTGCTGTGGCATTTTAACAGCAGTCACGTTCAAGTATTTATAAACAATATTATCTATATATTGAGAACAAAACACTATTATAGTATTATGAAATGTAAGTGGTACAACAAACACAATATGCAGCAAAGTTTATTAAAAATGAAAACAGATTATATACTTTTATATAATTTATATTAACATTATGGAATGAATATAAAAAAACGCAAAAAAAGAACGGACAATATGAAGATTAGAGCTGTGAAAAGCACTGAAACATGTTAGCACAAATCATCATTCCTCCAAATATAACTGCTTTATAGGCTGTCATCAGCCATATGTGCCTAGGGATACTAGTAAAATATTTTTGTGTATGTACATGGGAATCACTTGCAAAGCAGTTGTGTCAGTCTTTCAAAGGATATAGCCACTGTATTGCTTTCAGGAGTGCCAACAAGCTTTGCAAAAATCTGCTTCCAAATACTATTTATGTAAGAAATGTTTTCATACATAATCAAAAACATAATTAAATCAAAAACATCATCAAAAAAGCACAACAAAGAATGTTCTTTCTGCGCCAACTCAGAAAGCTCAAACTGCCCAAGGAGCTGCTGATACAGTCCTACAGAGGAATTATTGAGTCTATCATCTGCATCTCTATAACTGTCTGGTTTGGTTCTGCAACCCAACAGGACAGACACAGACTTCAGAGGATAATTAGGACTGCAGAAAAAACAATTACTACCCACCTGCCTTCAGTTGAGGACCTGTATACTGCACGAGTCAAAAAGAGGGCTGTGAAAATATTTACAGACCCCTCACATCCCAGACATAAACTGTTTCAACTCCTTCCCTCAAAATGACACTATAGAGCACTGCACACCAGAACTAGACACAAGAACAGTTTCCCCCCGAAAGCCATCACTCTGCTAAACAAATAATTCCCTCAACACTGTTCAACTATTTACAAACTGTACACTACTATTGCTGTTAATCTTCTCATCACTCCTTATCACCCATCCCCTCCCACTTGTGATTGTAGGACTGTAACTTTGTTGCTTGTATCCTTACAATTTATATTGACTGTTTCCTAGTATGATTTGATTGTTGATTGTACCTTATGACTATCATTAAGTGTTGTACATGATGATTCTTGATTCTTAATGAATGTACCTTTTCTTTATGTATACTGAGAGTATTTGCACCAAGACAAATTCCTTGTGTGTCCAATCACACTTGGCCAATAAAGTATTCTATTCTATTCTATTCTATTCTATTCTATTCTATTCTATTCTATTC